GGCTATTTCCAGAGCAAACACCAGCTCCAGGTCTTACTCAACTCTCTTCCTTTCTGACCTCTGAGGATTCCTGACACCTAGTTAAGTCATGCATTTTCCAATTACAGCGTTTAGAATGTTTTACCCAGCATTTGTTGGTGTTCTTTAATGAGAGGATTTCTTTAAAGATCTAATCTGTTATATGTCTGGGGATTTTCCATTCACTCTTCAACCCACTGAAGTCTTACACCACCACCACCCCAAGCTCCTTTAGCAAAGGAGCTTGTGATGTCTTCATTTCCCAGCCCCGGTCAGCTTTTTCCGGTTCTCATCATGTTTGACCTCTCAGCAGCACCTGGCACTGTTGGCCCCAGCTCTTCCTCCCTCCCTCCCTTTCCTCCCTGGCTTTCTAATAGCATGTGTTTGCTATTACTGCTATAACTGTTTCTTCTCCATTTAACTCCACTTCTTGTGCCTCCTGCTTAAATATTGGTGTTCCTCAGAGTTCTATCCTAGGGATTTCAATTCTCATTTTACAGATTGTACCTGGATCATCTTATCCATCCCCATGGCTTCTACTATCACGTGTATGCTGATGACTTCCTAATCTATATCTCAAATTGTATCAGGCAGGGTAGGTTAGGTTAAGTGAGATAAGAATCTATCCCAAAATCTCAGTAGTGTAACATGGAAGAGTTTATGTCTTGCTCATACAGAATCCACTGCAGGCCCAGGTGACCCTTCAGAGAACTGTCCTCCATGTGATGACTCAGTGATCTTGCTTTAGAGCTTTCAGCCTCACCTTCTCATCACAAAATCTCCATGACCACCCTGCAGGAGAAGAGGTCAGAGGAGGTCTTGCTTCAGCCATTAAATGCTTTACCTAAAAGGGATATACATCTCTTTCATTCATAGTCCATTGGCCAGAACTTGTCACATGGCATTACCCAGCCACAAGTAAGGCCCTGTGACAAAAATAGAGGCGAACTGGTTATGGGTGAGAACTAGTACTATCTACCATCCAAATCTAGATCTCTTTCATGAGCCCCAGCTACCCTCTCGACATCCCTATCTGAATATTCCATAAGCACCCTAAATTCAATGTGTCCAAAAGTAAATTCATTATTTATGTCCAATCCTACAGCCCCTTCTTCCATATTCTCACTGTTAGTCAGTGGTATAGTGCAGAAACCTGGGAGTTATCCTGAGTCACCCTTGATAAAAGTGAACTGGCATCTTAAGCTGCTCACCCATAGAGCTAGGAGGACTATCAGTGGAGCTGGGCTGGGCCCCTTGTTAACTCTGTAGTCTTGACTTCCTGTTGAACTTTGTGGTAACTTCCAGGGGAGGGATGCGAATAAAGGGGAAAGCCATGTTGGGCTGTTCTCCTTTTTCCCACATGGGTGACCGGCTGAGACACTGGCTGGCCTGTATGCACTCCTTGGTGGTTTTGTTTCTTTTTTCTTTTCCTGAATAAACCGTTCTTTTGGTGGATTTACCTGGAGAATTACTTTGGCCAATCGACACCCTCTTACCTTTCTCTCATGACTAATAAATGATTAGATCCATCACCCACCTGCCCTGCCTCTTCTTCTCCATGGCCATTGCCTCAGATCAGATCCTCCCTGTTTCTTGTCTGGAGCTCTGCAACACTAAAGGACACCCCGCCCACCCACTTGCTGGCCCCTCACCAGTCCCTCCTACACTCGGTTGCCCAAACCCAAATGTGATCGTGTTACTCCTCTTCAACAGTCTCTCCACTGCCCTGAGGTGGAGTTTGTGTAGGGTCCTCCATGATCTGGCCTTGCCCTTCTCCCCACCTTTTCTTTTCCTCTTCCATTCCCCATCACCACCCCACCCTCATACCCCAGAGCACCAGCAATGGTGAAATACTAGCATTCTCCTGAACGTAACAAGGCATGCCTTTGCTCATGCAGTTCTTCTGCCTAGAATATACTTCCTTCCTCTATCTGCCTAGAAAATGTGATTCATCTTTCAGGGCAACTCAAACGTCATCACCCCTATGATGATTTTCGTGACACTCGCTCTTTCCATGTTGTGTAACCTGAGCCCTTTCTGTTTTGGGTCCCATTCTTTCCTGTACTGATGCCTATCATAGCATTTATAACATTTCATTACACTTATGTACCACAGAGTGTAGCAGTGTGTTTGGGTCATAGTAGGTGCTCAGTAAATGTCTGAATAATTCATTAATCCTATCATCCGCACTCTAAATCTTGAGCTACTGCTGTTTCCTTCTCTGGCTCCTCTACTTTCTGCCCTTTGGTGACATATATATATATATATATATATATATATATATATATATATATATGTGTCATTAAGGGATTTTAAGACAATCTTCCATTTTTTTCCTCTTGCTCTTTTTTCCCCCTCCATATATATTTTTAAATGATGGAAATTATATATATATATATATGTGTCATTAAGATTTTATTGGGGAATTGGGGGAGGGGAACAATGCTGAGGAATCGGGGGAAGGGGAACAGACAAGTTGCTGTCCCTTCATTCCTCAGTCTAGCTGTGGAGGATGTCGCTTCACTGGCCCATGTTGGCACCATCACTGCGCTCTTCCCGGGTGAGGCAGATTGGTTGCCGGCCTCTGGACGGCCTCTCACAGCGGCTCTTGGCAGCTCACATCGGCTGCTGGCCGCTCACGCTTGCTGCCGTCCACACACGATAGCTTATGGTAGCCCACCACAGCAGGGGCTGCAGCCTATGCTGTCTCCTGCGACTCACGGCAGCCCAGGTCGAGCTGTTGTTCACCATCTTAGCTGTAGAGGGCGCAGCATCACTGGCCCTCATGTGGGATCCGAACAGGGGCCCTGCTGCTCAGAGCTGGCGTCCCAAGCCAGCTCTTAACCAACGTGCCACTCGGCCGGCCCCCTTTGGTGATATTTTTAATCACAGTCTTTGACTTTTTATCCTCTCACTCTCCTGAATGTCTCAAATGCATTTACATCTCTTCATCTCTCTACCCTGGCCCAAGTTACTATTAATCCCTTAACTGGGTCACTGCAGCACTCTCTCAACCAGTCTTTTCCTGTCTGTTCTGCTACCTTCCATTCTGTTCTCTCTCCCTCAGTTTCAGGATGCAAGTCTGATCATGTCACCTTGTTTAAATATCTTTTATCAATAAACCCACTTACAGTAAAGACAAAAGCTCTGAGAGAACTAGCCCCTTCCTGCTTCTTCAACTTCATCCCCACCAGGCTCCATGTCCCCTCAACACGCCATCATCACTCTCAAACACTTCCTTGTTCTTTCAGCTATTGCTACACTACCCTTTTTGTTTGTTTGTTTGCACTTCCTACCTTCCTTCCTGACACAGGCTTTTGAATTTTAATGTCCTCCTCTCTCTGAGCATTCCCCCTGCTCTTGGTCTACAGATGCAACTCACACTTCAGATTTGGGCTTGTCTTTCTCCAGGAAGCCTTCCTTGGTTCCCTGTGTCACAGGTGGAGGAAGGCAGAAGGTTCCTGATCCTTCACAGTTCATGTAATTGCTGCCATTGACCATTTACTGTGCTGACAGCCTCCTTTACCAGTTTGAAAGAAGGAAAAGGCTGTTATATGCATCCTCAGAACTTAGACTCCTACAGGGCACATAGCAAATGTTAACTAAATGATTTTGGAATGAATGAAAAAAATGAACTCTTCAGCCACCAAGATTCAAAAACTTAACATAATCACCGACTCATCCTGCTGCGTCATTCTCCGTATCTAGGTCCCAAGTCGCATAACTTTCAATCTTGTGATGGGATTCCTGTGGGTTCCTCCCGAACCCCACTGCTCACGCCCTTACTCAGCACCTGAAATATTGCCCTACTCTCCTAGCTTATCTTCTTGTCTCTTTCTCTACCCACAATTTATCTTGAATGATATGGTATAATCTTCCTTAAAGGCCTAGTTTATCATATCCCAATTCAAAAACCTTTAATGGTTCCTTATTAATACTTAAAATATATTTTTTGCTTGGGTTAAAAAACCTCCACAATCTGGCTAAAATCCATCTATGTAGCTACTTTCCACTTCCCACCCCTTACAAATGCCCCACTCTAGGACACATGCTGATATCTTAGAAACACATCACTTGAATCCCAGCTACCCATCCTGGACCTGGGGCTGTCCTCACTCTCTCCTCACTCTCTCCCTCCATCCAGACCCCCTGCAAGCCCCAGGCCCAGGCCCCAGCCTCAAGTCGACCTGCACAGCCTTGATCTCACCAGCCCTACTGGCTCCTCCCTTCCACAGGGCCTGTGGGTTGCCCTGCCCTCTGCCTGAAAGTCTTTCTGAGGCCGGTTGCCTGGCCAGCTCTGTCCCATCTGTGGTTCTCAGTGTACAATATGTCTGCTTCTTGGGTAAGCCTTCTACGGTCACCCATTTTATCTAAAGACATTCTCCCATCAGGTCCTCTCTCTCTGAAATGGCATTTTGCTTCTTTTCTGTGTGGCCTGTCACAGGACCTGTGATTAATCTGTTGGTCACTTGTCTATTGTGCCTCTTCTCAATTAGACAGTAGGCTCTGTGAAGAACTTTCCTGCTTCACTCTCTGAAATACCCATAGCACCTAGCCCACTCTAAGGCCTATCATGTTTATTTAATAAGTATGTTGATTAATATTGTTTTATTAATAAATGTTTTTACATGGTTCGCCTTCCCTTGAAGGGGCTCTCTGTGCTCTTAACACACTGAAAGTCTGCATAGGGGGCACTTAACTCTGAACACTACTCTTTGGTTTTCTTTAGCAATCTCATCTCTATGGTTAGAATACATGACACAATAGGATGCGTGATGACAATGATAAAAGCATACTGATGTGCTCCCCCACACATCTGGTGTGGTGGTTAAATACTCAACATATACTTAATTAGAAATAAACTTGTCTTATCCCCCTGTGCTCTGGCATTCATGTGTCAAAAGATAAAAAAAAGCAGCTCTCTATTTATGGAATTAAAAATACAGTGTTGGTCTCAAAGAGGAAGTCTGCCTCAAGTTTAGTTAAGATTTGCGACACATAGCTTGATGGTACCAGAAATCATTTTGTCATTTCTGAAAACTAGGAGTAGCAGCAGAAGCAAGCGAAACTTAGGTTTCTGACTATGGCATCTTATGACCGGACTTTTTCTTAAAAGGTAAATGCATTTACTCCATGCTTTTAATCTAGATGAAATAAGCATCCGCCAAAAGAAAATGTCATCCAATTGTTAGTGATACCTATCTTTTTTTTTTCTTTTTAACTTTATTTGGTGGTGTTTGAATAGTTGCGTTTAGTTGGTGGATTTCATGGCAATATCTGTTGCTGGAGAAAATGTGAAAAACTATATAGCACTGTTTTCTATTTTAAGTATGCTTCTGTCAAATATGTGGGTTTTTAAAAAGGGAAATGAATTTCCTGCTTTTCTCAGCCTGCATCTGTAAGTAGCTATTTCCCTGTGCATTGTGTAATGGTTTTGTCTTTCAGGGTGGGGTGGTCCAGCTTTTTTTTTTAGATTTTTATTGGGGAATTGGGGGAGGGGAACAGACAAGTTGCTGTCCTTTTGTTCTGCAGTCTAGTTGTGGAGGATGTGGCTTCACTGGCCCAAGTTGGCACCATCATTGCTCTCTTCCTGGGCGAGGCAGATCAGTCGCCAGCTTCTGGACGGCCGCTCACTGCGGCTGCTGGCCGCTCACACTGGCTGCCGGCTACACACGGTAGCCCATGGCAATCCACTGTCACAGGGGCTGCAGCCTACACCGTCGCTGGCGACTCACAGCAGCCCAGCTCCAGGTTGAGCTGTTGTTCAGCATCTTAGCTGTGGAGGGCAGTGTCACTGGCCCTCATATGTGGGATCCGAACCGAGGCCCTCTGGCGTCCCAAGACAGTTCTTAACCATCGCGCCACTCGGCCGGCCCTGTCCAGCTTTTTTTCAAGGTGGCTATGGTGACATTTTTTTTTAGCATGGTTGTAAAGTCAGAGCCACTGTTGTGAAGGTTAAGATTTTATGGAAAACCTCTCCCCCTTCACCTCCCCAAGGGTAAGGTAGTGGAAGTTTAGGTAATTTTATTTTTCTGCATTTCAGTACTTTATAATTTTTGGTACAAATAAATACATAAAAGAGGGAAAATATTGAAAGCTTACCATAACAAATAGAACCATGGCCTAGACAAGGACATTGGCACACTCCAAAAGATAATATGTGAACAGAATAGAAATGTCTGATGAAGCCTAGAGGAAGGATCTCCAACAGCAAGTTTGCCAAAGTTTACTCAGTTCTGCCAGGGGAGAGTGAGGCGGATGCATCAGACCTAGACAACACTCAATATTAAAAACATCCATTCGGGCCGGCTGAGTGGCTCAGTTGGTAAAGAGCTAGCTTAAGAGTGCAAGCTCTGGGCAACAGGGTCACCGGTTCAATTCCCACATGGGCTAGTGAGCTGAGCTGCCGCTGAGCTGCCAACAAGTAGCAGGATGGCTCAGCTGGTGAGAGCACGTGTTCCTAACAACAAGGTTGCCTGTTCCAATGGTGGGCTATGCCCGCAGGCAACTAAAGACTGAACTCGGCACCTTGAGCTGAACTGCCACCCACGTGGCTCAGGGGATAGAGCGTGCACTCTTAACAACAAAGCTGCCTGTTCGACTCCTGCATGGGATGGTGGCTACGCCCACCTGCAACTAAGATTGAATACAGCACCTTGAGCTGAGCAGCCGCAAGCTGCTGACGGGTATCTCGATGTCGACTGGACTTGGAGCTGAGCTAGCTGCACCCTTACAAATAAGATTGAAGGATAACAGCTTGGCTGTTCCCCTTCCCCAACTCCCCAACACTGTTCCCCTCCCCCAATTCCCCAATTTAAAAAAAATCTGTTCATCTTCTCCCATCCTTACTTACCAAACAAAATTATGGTTTTAATTGACTTCTTACATGTTCTGATAGAATGCTACTTGTTACACCAACATTTCCTTATGTCATTGCAGTTTATACATCAGTCTCCTGTGAGGTGGTTGATGGGAGTTAGTTCTGGAGCGGTCAGTCACTACTTGGTGCCCTGATAAGATCAAATTTCTGGACCTGCCAAGCTGAGGACTTGCTGCTGAGCTGAGGTAATCACACCACGTCAAGTCTGTGACCACTGACCTCACTAAAACACCCACCCATTACTTGTCTCTCACTGTAACTGCTCTTATATTGAGATCACAGTGGGCCCCTTCACTGTGTCTCCTTTCCAGGCTTTCTAAGAGGTAACTTCTTTTTTCTGAGGAGAAGACAGCATGGGATCAGGTCAATCCACACCGAAACCCAACACCGGTAAGTTCAGGGCAGAAACCATTACCTGGCTCACTGCTGAGTTAAAATGAATTCGAATAACTGGAAACTGCTGGAGGGTTGTCATGGGACAACATTTTCGAAGTTGGAAGAATCAGATTTTACCATGATGCAGAATCTAATGCCAAGAAGAGTGAAAAAGGAAACCAGGGAGAACTGTCTGACCCTCCAAATTTGAATAAAAGTGGCTCCGTGCTTGGTCGTAGACCAGCTTGGTAGCTTATGGGAACCTAGTTTACTTCCCTTGCTATTCTCAACCATCTGTGGTGTAGGCATTGGGAAAAACTGTGGCTGCCTTTGGCAAACAAATGAACATACAAAAAAACGCAGCAGTTTCCAAGGTCGGATTCCCAAGGACTTTAGGAAACACTAGTTCTGAGATTCTCTGCTTAAATCAGAAGGAGCGTCTCCCTAGAGGTCCTATTAAAATCTTTGAGGGAGGGACAGGAGACGCTTTTGTTTGTCAAAGGGACTTACAGGGTGACAGAAACACTAGGCTCTTCTTTCGTTTGTGTCACTGATGATTTGTGAAGTTTCAGTTCTAATTTTCAAGTTCAGGGATCCACGATCTAAGGAACAATGTTCTCTCCATTTGCAGAGTTGTAGCCCCCATCATGAATCTCAACTGGCTGCTTGGCTCGAGTGGGGTGCCTGGGGACACTTAAGCTGTAAAGATTCATGAGAAGTGGCAGATACACTAACCCCCTTCACATTCTCTCATAGACAAACAAAGCATTCCAACCACAACATCTCCAACAGTTACCTGTGCACCCTGCATCTGCAACTACCCCGTGTAAGTAAGCATTCTCCCACCCATTTTATCTTGTACCACGTGGCATTTGATTTTGTGTTGACAGTTTTGCCTTGTGAACTTGAGGAGGGAAATCTGGGGAAGGGCCCAGAAACAATGGAATAACTAATTCAGTTTTTTATCTTTATAGTGTTTTTCTTAACCTAAGGGCCCTCAAACCTCAAGAGATCCATGAATCCCCTAAGTTTATAGATAAAATTTGCAGTGTGGGCAACCTATGAACATTTTTTTTCCCAATTACAGTTGACATACCATATTATATTAGTATCAAATGTGTCACATAGTGTTATTTATATAACTTATTCAGTGATCACCCCGATAAATCTAGTGCCCATCTGACACCATGAATAGTTAATACAATATTATTGACTCTATTCCCTAAGCTGTACTTTACATCCCCATGATTATTTTTATAACTGGCAATTTGTACTTCTTAACACCTTCACCTTTTCCACCCAGGCCTCCCAACCTTCCTCCCATCTGGCACCCATCAGTTTGTTCTCTTACCTATGTGTTTGTTTCTGGTTGTTTTTATTGTTGTTTTTTAATAGATTCCACATATAAGTGAGATCATATGGTATCTGTTTTTCTCTGTCTGACTTATTTCACTTAGCATAATATCCCCTCTAGGTCCACCCATGTTGTTGCAAACAGTAAGATTTCATTCTTTTTTATGGCCGAGTAATATTCCATCGTATATATGTACCATCTCTTCTTTATCCAATCGTTTATCAGTGGACACTAAGTTTGCTTCCATATCTTGACTATTGTAAATAATGTTTCAGTGAACATAAGGATGTACACCTCTTTGAATTAGTGTTTTGAATTTCTTTGGATAAATACCCAGAAGTGGGATTGTTGGGTCATATGGTAGTTACATTTTTAATTTTTTGAGGAAACTCCATACTGTTTTCCACAGTGGCTGCACCAATTTGCAATCACATCAACAACGTACAAGAGTTCCCTTTTCTCCACATCCTCACCAACACTTGTTTGTTGATTTATCGATGATAGCCATTCTACAGAAGTGAGGTGGTATCTCACTCATTGTGGTTTTTATTTACAGTTCTCTGATGATTAGTGACGTTGAGCATTTTTTCATATGTCTATTGGTCATCTGTATGTCCTCTTTGGAGAAATGTCTATTCAGGTTCTCTGGTCATTTTTTAATTAGATTGGGTTTTTTTTAGTGTTAAATTATATGAGTTCTTTATGTATTTTGGATATTAACCCCTTATCAGATGCATCATTGGCAGATATCTACTTTCATTCAGTAAGTTTCTTTTTTGGTTAGCTGATGGTTTCCTTCGCTGTGCAAAATCTCTTTAGCTTGATGTAGTCCCATTTGTTTATTTTTTCTATTGTTTCCCTTGCCCAAGGAGACATAGCCAAAAGAATTATTGGTAAGAATGATGTCAAAGAGTTTACTGCCTGTGTTTTCTTCAAGGTGTTTTATGGTTTCGGGTCTTACATTTAAATCTTTAATCCATTTTGAGTTTATTCTTATATATGGTGTAAGAAAGTGACTCAGTTTCATTCTTTTGCATGTGTCTGTTCTGTTTTACCAACACTGTTTATTGAAGAGACTGTCTTTACCCCATTGTATAGTCTTGCCTACTTCGTCGAAGATTAAGTGACCATAGAGGCATGGGTTTATTTCTGGGGTCTTTATTCTGTTCTATTGATCTATGTGTCTGTTTTTGTGCCAGTACCACGGTGTTTTGATTACTATAGCCTTGTAGTATAGTTTGATATTAGGTAGTATGATACCTCCAATTTTGTTCTTCTCTCTGAAGATTGCTTTGGCTCTTCGAAGTCTTTTGTGGTTCCATATAAATTTTGAAATTATTTGTTCTAGTTCTGTGAAAAATGCCATTAGTATTTTGATAGGGATTGCATTGACTCTATAGATTGCTTTGGGTAGTATGGACATTTTAATGATGTCAATTCTTCCTATCCATGAGCATGGTATATGCTTCCATTTGCTTGTATCTACTTCAGTTTATTTCTTCAATGTCTTAATTTTCTGAGTACAGGTCTTTTGCCTCCTTGGTTCAATTTATTCCTAGGTATTTCATTCATTTAGATGCAATTGTAAATAGGATTTTTTTTTAGTTTCTCTTTCTGATTGTTTTTGACGTATAAAAATGCAACCAATTTTTTAATATTAATTTTGTATCCTGCTACTTTCTGGGTCATTTATTAGTTCTAATAGTTTTCTAGTGGATTCTTTAGGGTTCTGTATATAATCATCTCGTCTGCAAATAATGACAGTTTTACTTCTTCCTTTCCAATTCAGATGCCTTTCATTTCCTTTTCTTGTATGATTGCTGTGGCCAGGACTTCCAATACTATGTTGAGTAAAAGTGCTGAAAGTGCACATCTTATCTTGTTCCTGATCTTTAAAAAAAGCTTTTGTCTTTTCACCATTATGACATTAGCTGTGGGTTCATCATATATGGCCTTTATTATGTTGAGGCATGGTCTCTCTATCCCCACTTTGCTGAGAGTTTTTATCATAAATCAATGTTGGATTTTGTCAAGTGCTTTTTCTACATCTATTGATACAATCATATAGATTTTCATCCTTCATTTTGTGTATGTGATATATCACATTAATTGATTTGTGGGTATTGAACCAGACTTGCATCCCAGAATAAATCCCGCTTGATCATGGTGTATGATCTTTTTAATATATTGGTGAATTCTGTTTGCTAATATGTTGTTAGTATTTTTGCATCTATGTTCATCAAGATATTGGCCTATCATTTTTTTTTTTGGTAGCACCTTTGTCTGGTTTTGGTATCAGGGTAATGGTGGCTTTATAAAATGAGTTTGGGAGCCTTCCCTCCTCTTCAATTTTTTTGAATAGTTTGAGAACTATGAACATTTCTTGAGGGGGAAGAGAGCCCACAGCTTTCATTGAGGTCTCAAAAGGATCTGGAACTCGAAAGCAAAATCTTGACAACCAGTGGGTGAGAATGAAAATTAAAAACCAATGTGAAAGCTATTGCAGAGGTTTTTCCACAGGTGGACAAGGTTACACTCTGGTCTTTAGGAAAGGCCTTTAAAAAGCCCAGCACATCATCTGCTCCCTTTCTTTGCCACAACAGCAAAGAACTTCATTTGGTCTTAGCCTTTGTTGCTGGGATTCTACTGACACTGCTGCTGATGGGTCTTATCTTCCTCATCATAAAGAGCTACAGAAAATGTAAGTGGCCTCCAATAAATGGAATGGCTTTTCTTTCTCTGCCATTGAGCACAGGGTCAGCCTTGAGTGGATAACGGGAGGGAGGGGATAAAACCTGCTCAGCCCACCCTCTCTGCAGCTAAATATTCGAATCCCTTTACTCCTCTCCCTGTCCTCCCGACTCTCCACCTTTCCCACCTGCAACACCTCTTCACACCTCACCCCTTCACCCAAGATTGAGGGGAGAGTCTTCTGATTGCTTTGGACCCCACTGGTGAGACTTTCCCCTATTTTTCCTGACTCTTGTGGCAGGTCACTCCAGTCCCCGAGCCCTGGACCTTCCCTTAGATCCTCTGGTTAAGGTAAGATGACCACCCTGTTTCTGCAACTCTGGAGGCCCGCTGCCATTGGCATTGCCCTCTATGCTTTGCCCTATCTGCTAGAATAGTGGTATTGCTCTCTGAACACATTGGCAAGTGAGTCTTTGAAGAGTTCCTCTGATCTCTTTGGGTCTTCTCTCACCAAAGCTTTCAAGTTGTTTCTGAAGAGGCACTTGCTTCTAAAGAGACCCATTCCTTCGAATTGAACTCACTCATCCCTCCTCCTTTCCTGTTTAGGTTCCATCCGTCCCAGACAAGGCACTTACTTCTGTCAGCACGACTTCCAAAATCTCAGATGAAAAGAGAAATCCTTTGACTGCAAACCATTCTGCAGGCTCAGATTCCATTGTCTATGCTCAAATTAAAGGGATAGACTTACCCTGAGTTTCCAGTTCTCATCTCAGCTCTATCGTCATACATCACTTTCTTTTTTTTTTTTTCACATATTTTGGACCACAACCTGTGTGAAACTGTAAATGAAGTTGTTTGGGCGTGAGCTGACATTGTTAGCCAGCAGTTTTGAAGACCACGGACCAGTCCTTTTCCTGGCCCAGGAAAAGATTGCTGGCCCTGCCATTTGGACCAACAGTCTGTTAGCGCCATGAGGGCTGAGACTGCCCCTCCTTGTTTCCTCCCAAAGTATGTGTGGCAAAAGCTCAGTGCATCACGACTGTTCACTAAGTGGCACTGATCAGCTTGGAAGGAGCCAACCAAATGAACCACCTAGCAAGAATTACAAATAAAAGCAAACCCTCTGTAATCTTGGCTTCTTCGTCATTTGTCTGTCCCTGTCACCTCCAGATATCAGGGCCAAAATTCCAGAGCTCATCCACAGCCAGGAAAGACAAACAGAGGTGATGGTACTCAAGTTCAGGATCGATTGGGGTGCAGGTCCCAACCTCTGACACTAACTAGCTACATTCATTTGGCGAAGTTCATTAAACTTTTAAAGCTTCAATTCCTTCATCTTGAAGGCAGACTGAATAACACTCACCTCTTATTGTGATAATAAATGAGATATCACATACATAAGCCCTCTGTACATCTCAGTTTTACACTAATACAAGGTCCCTGTGGTGTAAAGCACTATTCAGGTGTGGATGTCCAACTCCTGGCAATAGCATGACAGGTGCATAACAACATTATATGGAAACTAAAGAGTAGTCTGAACAGTCTATCCCCCCTAAATCCCAATGTATAATTTCATACATGACCCCAGTAAAAAATAACAATAAGATTATTATTTTTGTTTTTAAAGAGATATTATTAGGGAACAGTGTGTCCTTCCAGAACCCATTGGCTCCAAGCCAAACAGCCAGTTGAGGAGGGCACAGCTCCCCGACCCACGCAGGAATCAAACTGGCAACCCCGGTGCTAGAAGCCCACGCTCCAACCACCTGAGCTAACCGGCCACCCCCAATAAGATTATTTTTTATTCAGCAAGATTACTCTAAAGTTCCTATGTGAACAGTAAGCAAAACAAGCAAATCCAGGAAATTTCATAAAAATAAGCAAATAGATAAAAGCAAAACGGGCAGGCTAACCTTAACATTAACTAAAAGTATTGTTTTATTAAGCATCACTAATTAAAACAATATGTTAACAGTTCATGAATAAGCAAATCAATGGAATAGAATAAAAAGACCAGAACAAGACCACAATACAGAAGGAAATTTAGAGTATGATGAAGAGGGCATATCAAATTACTTGGGGAGGAATGGTTTATTCAATAAATGGTGGTGCGGCACGGAGCCATGTACATGAAAGTAAAATTGGATCGAAAATTTGCTCCTTATATCAAAATAAATTCCAGAGGTGTCAAAAATTTAACTCGAAAAAAATCATGCAAGTACTAGAAGAAACTATGGGAGAATTAAAAAAATAATCTCAGCATGGAGCGTGCTTTTAAATGTATGACACAAAGCCCGGAAACCAAAAAAGATTGATTGACTTGACTTGGGAAATACCCTTCAAAGACAAATGATAAGCTTGGAAAATATTTGCAAAGCATCTCATAGACAAAGGGCTGATCTTCTTAGTATATTAAGAGCTCCTCAATAACTCAATAGAACAATCAAGAACACAATTTTTGAAAAGTACAAAAGGTAAGGTTGGGAAACTCGCAGAAAAGGAAAAGCAAAATGGCTTTTACACATATGAAGAGATAATCAACTAATTATTTCATCACGAGAAAAATAGTGATTAGAACTATAATGAAATAATACTTTCCATCAATAAGATTAGCAACATTCACAAGGTTTGCGAATAAACTGGGCAAGATTGTGGGGAACCAAGACACACATACGAGTATAACTGCTGGTGGGAGAATAAGTGGGTACAACTACTGTGGAAGGCAATTTCGCAATAGCTAAGGTTTTAAATTCTATTTGTAAGAATTTATCCTACTTAAGCATGTGGAAAGTCACCTATGAGTGGGGTTCACAACAGGTATCCTCCCCAAGATGTGCCACTTTGGCATGTGGATTATTTTGTGCTGAAGGCAGTCCAGACCCTGCGTGCTCAAGAGAAACTTTTACTTCTCTGTTAAAGGGGGTGGCTGGTTAGCTCAGTTGGTTAGAGTGCAATGCTCATAACATCAAGCTGCTGGTTCGATCCCCACACCCTCCACAACTAGACTGAAAGAACTATTTGACTTGGAGCTGATGGGTCCTGGAAAAACACACTGCTCCCCATTTGAAAAAGAAAAAGACAAGAATTGGGGCCTTGCCCATAATAAAAATTATCACCAGAAATAACTTCTTTTTTTATGGCCTAAGTAGATAGCAAGGCAGACGTCCAATTATTGAGCATGGAGGCACAGAGATTAAGTAACTTGCCAGAGTTCCCACTGCTAGTAAGTAGTGGCGCTGGGACCCAGACCGGGTAGGCTTGCTCTAGAGTTTGCATATTTATCTATTATGCTCAACTCTTTCAAAGAGTGAAAGATCAAGGAAACCCTCATTGTCTATTGCAGGTGAGAAGGCACTGGCTGATAGAGTACAATGTAGCCATTAAAAAGGAGGCAGCTCTTGGACCTACCTGATGGCTCAGTTGGTTAAGAGTACGAGCTCTGAGCAGCAGGGTTGCCAATTTCATTCCCACATGGGCCAGTGAGCTGCCACTGAGCTGCCAACAGGTGGCCCAATGGCTCAGCTGATGAGAGTGCATGCTTGTTGCCAGTTCGACTCCCGACGCCCCAAGAGATATTGTTAAATAAAAAGTATGAGCTGATAAAGAGAATTCTGCATCTGCTTTTATTCATGTAGAAATACACCTGTATTTATATATATATTTAATATGTCTGCAGAAGAAAACACCATTAACTGGTCATAGTGATTGCCCCTAATCACTTGATAACTGAGGGATTGAGGGGTGGGCTGGAAGGAGGTAGTCTTTTCTTAAAAGCTTTTTTGTAACTTTCCAAGTTCTTCATTTACCCGTTGAACATCTTCGGGGGCCCAATACCTAATGCTCCCATTCCCCCCTGAATTCTGAACCAATTGAGAAATAAGAAAGAGGACTCAGCAGACAGAGAACAAAGTACCATCTTTATTACAGAGTCCACACTGGAGAATATAGCGTATATTGGAGCTGCAGACAAGTGGGCTTCAGATCAACAAGCCCCATGACTGATAGAGCCGCACCAAGGCAAGTCTCCTCTCCTTGCTACCAAACCAGTGCTCAGATGTCCCCAGGAGTTGCAGAAGAGATCACGTGCTCTTTGAAAGCTGCACCCAAAAGATTAAAAAAGGAAGAGGAAGGACAGAGTGGATGTGAAACGCCTGTTTACTACCCCCAGACTCACACTTCACACAGGTCACTCCACCTCAGATGCGTCATTGAGGAGTGTCCCCCTAATGGGGCTGAGTCCACAGGGAAGGAAGTGGGAGTGGGGGAGTGGGGGGCATCCTTCATTAATCTCTCTTAAAAATACACCAAATAATATTTTTATAAAAATCAAGGTAAGGAAATTAAAGTTTAAAGACTGAAATAATTTATGTAACGTCTCCCAGCTAGTGAGTGGCAGAACAAAATTTAAATCGAGTCCTTTGACTTCCGATTCCTTGCATCTTGCCCTCACACCCAGCTGCCCCAGCGCATGGATCATGGCAGACAAAGCAGAAAGGTAAAGTCAGGTGACATGATGGGGAAAGAGCATGCTTATTGTGCGAGACAGCAGTTGCTCCTGACAGCTGGATTTTGAGAAGAGAGTGGAACAGGGGTTTGAGAAAGGAGTGGGCCCTCCTCTGTGGGAGCAGACAGATCTAGGAGAAAGACAGGTTAGGGAAATAGTGTTGTGAAAAGAGCAGCCAGACCCGCGGGGGCAGCAGAGCACCAGGAATGCTCTTCTCCTGTGGCTGGTTGTAGAAAGCACTCCCCCAAGGAGGCCTCTCACTTGCAACTGTTCTCAAACTCTGGATTGACATCAAGCAGTTCTACCAACCATGAAGTTGGAAGCCACATCAGCTTTCAGGCTCAGAGCCGGTGCCTTATGAACAGCTACAAGAGGAGTAAGCATTGTCCCAAGGCCATCCATTTGCACGTGAAATAGCAGATTGTTCCTCCCTCTGTTTTCATGAAGCTTCCCATTTCTAACACCATTGTCCCGTGTTTACAAAGACTTGCTTTTTTGTCTTTTTCTTTTGTCTCCGTATTATGAAATTGTGAGCAACTTGCCTTGTGGGAGAATAAAATCAGTGAGTAAATAACTGACTATAGATTGAAAAGCTCTTTGCTCGGTAAGGGAAGAAACAAGGCTCTTGAACCCTGGATCATGGAAGCGAACAAACTTGTAGGATTCTCAGGGGCAGTACTTTTGCACATAGGTACTCGTAAGTGTAATCTTCCGAGACATCTATAGGTGGCTTCGTCTGTCATGAAAGATGGAGGTCTGCTCTCTTGCCTTATGTCGTTGGATGTCCTAACCAAGCCCAATTGGGATTAATGTTTGCAGAACCAGTGGCTACTGGCTCCTTTATGTAGATTGACTACATGGCCACAGGGCAGGGACTGGGGTTGTTTTGTGGCTGAGGGAAAAGACAGCACTTTTGATGTTGTTTGTCTGAGAGTTTGGGAAGGAGGGGGGCTGGCTGTATGGAAACACAGAAGATGAGCGGAATGGGATGGTATCCACACTCCCTACCCTTCCTGTCAGGCTGTTGACTAGCTTTGAGTTCCTTACCTATACAGAGAGGGGTTCTTTAGGGTGGAAGCTGAAGGAACTGTGTTCATGAAAGACTTTGCTAGAGCTTGAGCCTAACTATGCAGGGCATGTACATAATTGTGCCAAGAGCCCACCTCCCTGTCCCAGCCCTGCTCAGACTAGAGGGCCGCTTAAATACCCTGAGCACTGAGACTGGCCAACACCCTATTAGAAGACACCAGAAGAGCAGGCTTTTTATAAGGGCAGCAGAGTCAGTGATGGGGAGCCCCTGGGAACTCCCTGAACTAGCAGGAGAGACACTACATGGGGAGAGAAGGGTGCGCACAAGCTGGTGGGAGCTAAGAGTTTTGGTAATTCTGGCATTAATTACAGTATGACCTCACTTGCACCCATAGTTGCTGATGCCTTGATCTTGATTTGTGTTCCCTGATTTGAATGAATATTTCACTTAAGTTATCACACTTTGGTTTCTCATTGATCAAAAGCAGCATCCATTCAGTCTGGCGGAAGTTCCCCATATAGGCCTTTTCACTAAGAAAACCTGAGAACCACAGAGTTAGCCTTTCCTTCATGTAATACCAATTCAGGAATAAATTGGAATATTATTATACTTTAAAAGAAACTTCTCCAGAAATACTTGTCCAGTGCTCTCTTGGGGGAAGTTAGTCATACTTTGGAGTTCATTCAATGCTAGTTAGGAATTTATTGGCTCACAAATAAAATACAAGGGATTTCATGGCCTCCTGATCAAGATTCTTCACTTCCAGCCAGCTCAAATCATGAGAATTAAGATCTGGAGGTGTTATCTGACAGCAGCCTTGCTCAGGCTGGCCTCGCACCACTCCTCTGGCTATCTCTGTTCTTACCTAGCTACCAGTGATTGCTGGCATGGTTAAAGGGCCCTCCAGAACACCAGAGAGATCTGAATTAGTTCCCAAGATGTGGACTGGTTGTCATGGTGAGTCTATTGTAACATCATATTATTTGTGAGCTAAATAAAGGAAATCTTCAGTCACATCTGTTCAGTTTGAGCCATTTCCTCTGGCGTCAAGCCACATGAGGGGCTTCAAAGAGTTGTCTACTTTGTTGGAAACAGAAAGGAAAAATTAAGTTGAGATCTATTGCCTACCTCTGCTGAGTGTTTCTTGAGCAAAAGTTGCCAACTCTCTTATGAGGGCTTCATGGGGACTAAACATGGAAGTTCATTTTCAGGGCTGAAATCAGATGTCATTCCTTTGAAGTTCATGGGTCAGTCAATAGGAAAGCTTTGGACACCGGGCCTGCATTCACCTCTTAGCATGCTTTGGTGATCTGAATGCCACTGGACTCTTTTTTTTTTTTTTTTTTTGCCACTGGACTCTTTTAGAATCCAAGAATGTCAAAGCCAGAAGGGACCTTGATTCAGACTGCCATGCTTCAATTGCCTGGGTGTGAGGAAGTAGTCCACAGCTAGAATAGGTTGTACTATTCCTTGCTAAAAAGGAATCGGGTTGGGTCCCATTGCCTCAACTTTCATAGCACCCACCATGCATCTCTCCTTTACAGTACTCACCCTAGTTGACAATTGCATAGTGTGTGTATGTGTGTGATAATTTGTCTCCTTCCTGCTCTATAGTATAAGCACCATGAAGACACATGCTATTTCTTTGGCTCATCTTTGTATCCTCAGCATCTAGCATAGTCCTTGTTTATTGGATGATGAATTGAGTGTGTGAATAGAGTCCTGGGCAGTATGAGGATGGGGTCCTCAAAGTCACAAAGAAGGAAACAGGCCTAAGGTCATGCCTTAAAAAAGTGACAATGTTTTTTTGCAAAAACCTAGACTAAAGTTGTGTCCCAAAGGGAGTTATTTTGAACAAAAATGGAGAAAGATGTTGCTTCATCTATACCCCCCACCTCCACATTCCCCCAAGCTCTTAGAGAACAAAAGGCAGGAATGCTGGGGGAGCCACTACTTTGATTTCTTGGCCATGGGGCCAGATGATCACAGGCAAAGTATAAAAACTTGCAGTCTTCGCTTTGAATTTCAGATCCTGCTGGCTAGAGACCTTTGTGTTTCATTAACAGGTGTCTCTCCAGGTTTCTTTGTTTTGTCACATTCTCTGAAATGTTGTTTTTCTACATTTCCACACCCAGAAGAGGTGGAGTCTGTTTTTGTAATTATGCCTTACAGTCTCTCCACGGCCCAAGGTGTTCCTATCGCTTCTGAGCATAAGAAGAAACAAAGTTAGAAAACATATTGGCCAAATAGTGGCACTTGTGTTTGATGTTTTCTCCCCTGTGTCCACTTGAGAGGCTAGCAGAATCCCCACCTGGTAGCCGTGAAGGTTCTGGTTTCTCTGACACTACCCTAAAGGAAAGATAGACAGGCGTGCACAGCCCCTTTTGCACAAAGTTCCTGTTCTCTACCCTGTTTCCCTGAAAATAAGACCTAGCTGGAAAATAAGCCGTAGCATTTTGGGCGCCAAAACATGGCAACTTGGCACACTGGATATTTTAAGCTGAAGGAGTTTGTGGAAAAGGCACCCTTCTCCCTGAAACAGGTCATAAAACCCTCATGTGAGGGGTGCGTGCCCTCCATATCCTGGAGGAATCATGCTAGGGCCTCTTCTCCAGCCAGGCCTTATTTTCGAAGAAACATGGTATGTCGGAACAGGGAGCCCTAAAGATCAGGTTACTGGGGGCACAGGGCTCAGGACAGAAGAGTCACAGAGGGAACCTACCAGAGGTGTGGGGATCACTGAAGAAACTTGGCTGGTTTTCTGGCTTCTAGCTAGGCCTTTACCTGTAATCACCCAAGGGCAGAAGAAGGCGCAGAGCTTAAAGGCCACTCCTCCTGCGACTCAAGAGGGCCTAGGCCGAGGCTGAGGCCCTGGGCCTGTCCTCGTCCATGCCTGAGCCTTCTCAAGGAGACCATTCTACACCTGCTTACCCAGAGCCCCAGGAGCTCCATGGGCAGCGGCCTTAGCTTCTAGTCCTCCCAGGTGAACAAAAACGTTTCCATCAAGACTAAGGCTGCCTCCCAAAGTTTGTCCGCTGGGGAAGCAGATGGCTCTCCAGACATGGAGCCTGTGGTGTGGTTGTCTCAGGGCCTCCCTCCTCCTGGTCTCCACCCACCTCCACTTACGAAGGTCACAGTGTTCTCTCTGTGACCTCTGATGGTGCCTTTGTCACGGTGACACAGAATCTCCCCAGGCCTCGGGCTGGCGGCATTGGCCTCCGGGGGTCCAGGCAACAAGAGGAGGCTCACATTCACTCACCTGGACGCTTCCCTTTGACCCTCCGTTTTCTCTAATCACCACCCCCCAGCTGCTACTTACCCCTTCTGTTCCTTTGACTTCTCCTCCTTTGGGACAAATGACTGATTATAGAGATGATCCCCACCCCAGTGATCAGTACGCAGATGATGAGAATGGACGTCCTAGAAGGAATCACAGACAGGTTTCACATCCCTTGGGAGAAACCATCTTTTGGCTTTCTGCACAGGATCCTCTTTTCTGGGATGTCCCTACTGCCCTGTCCCTGCACCCCACTCTGTTCCAGTAGCTCCTGGCAGCTGTATTCCCTTCGAGTGGCCCATACCCTCCAGACCATGCTCGATTGGGCCTGGAGTGGGTGTCTGGCCCAGCTGGGCTGAGCCCCTTCCTCAGTAACTAGCCTGGGACCAGGAATAGGGGAATCCAGTCTCAGGCTGGCCAGGCTCTCGAACAGGCAAGAAGTAAACTCAGGAGCCAGACATGAATATCTTTTCCCGGGGCAAAAATGAAGTGTAAAAGGACAGCACAGAGAAAGGGGAGAAAACACACACAAGAACAGCAGATCAGAGACAGAGATAAGGTCCTGCTGACACTCCTATCTTTGAGGGCGCAGTGTCCCTGCCACTGCACTTCTGAGACACTGCTCTCTCCTTGTGATGAATTCTCCTTTTTAATTAAAATAGAGACAGAGCATTTTTACTGCTTTCAACTGTGGACAAAAAAAGGGCCACATACTAAACCTGACAAGCTCAGGGGAGGCCTTCATGGCAGGCCCTACACACTCAGAGACAGAAATTAATGACATAGGGTGGTCTGAACATAAAATTCCTAACTCAAAACAGGTCACAGCTGGTAGTCATATCCTTGGCCTGTAGCTTCCTTGACAAAGGTCAATCTTTACCTTAAGTGAGCCTGTCTATTGTCTTTTTTCATCTAAGATAATGTGCCCTTGGAAGGTCAGAGTAATCCCTTTTTCCAGACCTCTCAGGGCCCCCCGCCACACACACACACACACACACCAGAGCAGGAAACTCCAGAACCCCTCCTTGTTGTTCCCTGATCACCATCTCTCTGTGCTATAAAATGCTAACTATTAACTATCCTGCACCCACCTATACAAAAGAAGTATCTGTCTCTCCGATTTCCTTTTATCCAGTCCCAGAGATTTCCCCCTCTTCTTTGCTTTTTCCCATCCCCTTAATTTACCACCAATGGATTTCATGTAACCCTCTTCCTTTGATTATAATGTATAAAATAAGTTGCAAAACTGCCCTTTTCCGGAGCATTTTCTCAATCTGTTGAGATTTTGCTTCCCAGCAATTGTCATCAGTTTGGCTCAAATAAACTCTTACAAGTTTTCTCTTAGACGCGATATTTTTTTGTCAACACAACCAAGAGTCCTGAACTATATATAGATCTTCTTTTGAAAGAAACCAAGTAGTTGCATTGAAGATACATGGTTCAGCTGGAGAGACAATATGCAGCTGAAAAGTAGTAGGTGGAGTAGGTGCTGTTCAGCTCTCCAGTCCATTGTTGTTGCACCCCTCCCCGCAAGCCCATTTGTCTCCTCAGTTACTGCTCACCTGGACTGATCTGCCTTGTGCACAACTTTGGAAGACCTGCAGCTTCTGCTTTTGTTGCTTGATGGGTCTGCATCGGAAAGGATTTGAGAGTCAAGCAAGGCCCATTCCCAGGCCCGGCCTTCTGCAACTCTGCGTCTCTGCCTGTCATTCCCTCAAGCTCCAGAGAAGGTGTGGGCTGGGCGACGGCTGGGTCAAGCAGAGGCACCAAGTACAGCGGCGCGAATGTGCCCTGCACAGGGCACAAGGCTGAGGGAGAAGTTGGAGCTGAAACCCAGCCCACACTCTGTTTGCTAAGCCAGGCACCCTGCCACTGAGTTCCATGCACTTAGACGAAGGGGCACTTCTGTAAGTGTGTACAAAATCCTGGTGGGGACTAGAAATGGCCCAGGGTGAGAGAGTCCCAGGCTGAAAGCTATGGGAGGGGATACCAGAGGCACTAGTGGGTCAGTCTTGTCCTTAAGGAACTGATCAATAGGTGACATAATTGCCACATCGTGCTTCCGTCAGTCACCAAAACCCAATGGGAGAAGTTCCATCATGACCAACCACCTTGCCTCCTCCAACCATCCCTGGGGGGAGGGTGTATGTGTTTCTTTTAAACTAAGGAACACATTTAGGTGGGATTGCTCTCAGCCTGAGCCTAAAAGCAGAACGATACAAGATAGAAGCACTGCAGGTGCAAAGGATGTCACACCTTCAGTAAGATCCTTGTTGGACAAATTACCAGTTGGTCAACTGTGAGCAAGACTTTCTAGCACCAGCAAGAGACTTGTAGCTCCCCTTGGGTCCTGCTTTGTTTTCCTACTGGCAGTGCACTCTGGGTTGTGATAGGAAAAGATGCCCTTTCTAGAAATGGAAACGAGAAACCACAGGAGATAAAAGAGCCTAGTGCTTTCCATAAGCTCTCTGCCTGAGAGAAAGTCTTTCTGGTATAAAAAGGTTTTCGGTATTTGACAGAAGAATTTTGTGAGCACCTGAAGATCCTTTGCTGAGCTCTGGTCCAAAGGAGCAATTGAGTGGCTCAGACAGACTTCCCCCTCCCTATAGGCTCCAGCTCCCTACATGGGCCCAGCCGACTCCTGGTACAACCTACACTTCTCAAAGGAGGGTGCTGACCAGTTTGACCTGTCTGTTATGAAATTCAGTTGGCAGTGTTGGAGGGTGCTCATTCAGGCGCCTGGGTCACTTTTTGCAGCTGCGGTCACCTCTCAAGAAACTAATCTTCAAGATTCTAGACCTGCCAGGCTGGCCACAGAGCACTGAGGCTTCATAACAACCTCAACGCCTTTCCTGATCAGCAGCGCAAAGCTCTCACACTGTCAGTCGCCACAAGCCTCTTTCAAGTTCCACGAACCAGGTCGCTGTGAGGGAAGGGAGGTACCAGGAGCACCCACCCCAGGGCCCAGACACCCCTCTTTCTCCCTAGCTCCATCAGCAACCACCCTACTTTGGGAAGGAGAGACCAGAGAAGCTCCAGGAAGACTGAGTTGGTGCTCACTGGTTTCAGTGAGTATTTACAACACCAACCCACAGCCCTCGCTGTAGGTTACCCCCAAGAAGACAGACCCCTGGCATGACCCTTACCTTTCACAGACCAAAAATCACTGGCGAGGGCTCCTCTGTTGTCAGTCACAACCAGCTCAGTGAAGTCCATGTCATCCCGGGCAAAGTCCCGCTGGATGCCACACCAGTACCAGCCCGTGTCCTCCTTGGTCAGGCAGGACATAGTGACAATGAGCTGGTTTCCTGTGTCCCTCAGGGCCACGCGGTCCGTACTGTTGGGTGTGAAGGCGATGATGTTGCAGTAGCTCCGGAAATAGCCCCGGCACCAGTATTTGGGGTGGTCTTTGTAGTAGGTGTCGTAGTTGCAGAGAGCAGATGCCGTGTCCAGCACGGAGCTTTCCTTGACCTTTTCGTCCATGACCATGGCTTCTGTGAAACACACACGCACGCACGCATGCATGCACCGTCAATCCTAAACACAGTGCGGCTCCTTCCCTCCTGGGGGAAAATTAATTAAAGCCTTGGAGGCTGATTTTTCCCTCTTTGGGGTTGGCAACTGTTAATGGGCTGAGTAGTGTCCTCCCCAAATTCATATGTTGAAATGCTAACCCCCAGTACTTCAGAATATGACTGTATTTGAAGATAGGGCCTTTTAAAAAGGTAAGTAAGTTAAAATGTGGTCGTTACAATGGGTCCTAGTCCAACATGACTGCTGTCCTTATAAAAAAAGAGATTAGGACACAGACAACAGAGGGGAGGGCCATGTGAGGACAGAGGAAGTAGGTGGCCTTCTGCAAGTCCAGGAGAGAGGCCTCAGGAGAAACCAAACCTGCCGACACCTTGATCTTGGACTTCTAGCCCCCAGAACTATAAGGAAACACATTTCTTTTGTCTAAGCCACCTCGTGTGTAGCATTCATTGCAGCAGGCTTACCAAACTAACACAGCAGCCCTGGAAAAGTCTTTTTCCCTCGTTCAAGGGCAGGTAAAATACAGACCCTGCTCTGCAAGAATTGAGGAGACCTCTCACCATTCCTTGGCAGGAGGCTTGAAGAGCCTGAGGCTGTAGATCCTCTGCCCTCAGTTCCCCCTCGACCTTGGACCCTCAAAAAAATGTGAGGTTTGGGGGCTTCTGCCGGCTGTATTGGGCTGAAAAACAGAGGGAGTCAGGCTCTGTCCTTAGGGACAAAGAACTTCATATTTCCTCCATACAAGCCCAGTGTGAGCACCTCTACCATCTCAGGACATGGCATAATGAGTAAGTCATGCACACCACATCCATCTTGACTGTGGCTGGGGAAGTGTCTGACCAAGGAGGAGAGATGGGGCGACAGAGCCCATCCATCTCTCAGCCTTTCAGATGTGTGCTGGGGTCCTCTCAAATGCCGCAGCAAATGTAGCTCACCGTGGGTGGGACCAGCCTACAAAGCTGTCAGAATGATTGGATATTTCATTCTCCACAAAGAGATCATGTGGTGCTCAATTTACAGGCATGGGCGCTGACCCAGGAGAGGGGCAGCAACTCTCAAAGGTCACAAGGCTGGAGGGTAGTAGAAACGGGGCCAGCACAGGCCTCTGAGTTTCACCTATGGAGTCAGATATGGGCAGAGAGGGGAAAGTCCTACCCTTACACATCTGCACTACATTTTTAAGGGGGAAAGTAAGGGGAGCTTAAACTGAAAGAGAGAAAACAGAGCCCTCGTTTTAGCTGAGGGTTTCAAATTCCCCATAAACCTCTAATCAGAGCTAAGAACAAGGACTATTTTGTTCTTTTTTTTTTTTTAGCTGAGGCATCCTGCCACCTGTTGGCAGCTCAGCTCGGGCCGGGAATAGAACCAGAGTCCCTGTTGCTCAGAGCTCACACTCTTTTTTTTTTTTTTAAGATTTTTATTGGGGAATTGGGGAACAGACAAGTTGCTGTCCTTTTGTTCTTCAGTCTAGTTGTGGAGGATGCTGCTTCACTGGCCCAAGTTGGCACCATCATTGCACTCTTCCCAGGTGAGGCAGATCAGTCGCCAGCTACTGGATGGCCGCTCATGGCGGCTGCTGGCTACACACGGTAGCCCATGGCAACCCACTGCAGCAGTGGCTGCAGCCTACGCTGTCGCCGGCGACTCCAGGTTGAGCCGACTCCAGGTTGAGCTGTTGTTCAGCATCTTAGCTGTGGAGGGCAGTGTCACTGGCCCTCATATGTGGGATCTGAACCGGGGCCCTCTGGCATCCCAAGCCAGCTCTTAGCCAACGCGCCACTCGGCTGGCCCATGAGCTGGCACTCTTGAGTGAGCTCTTAACCAACTGAGCCACTTGGCCGGCCCAAACAAGGACTATTTTGGACAAGATCTATTGTCACCTCCTTTTATTTCCCCATCCCACTCCCTCAGCAGTTCGAGCTAATAAGCAGGAACTCCAAGTAGGGGAGGAGGAGGAAATGCAAGGTCTCCAGAGAGTTTGGAAGGCTGGCCATGTTTCTTCCCCATGTCTTACCTGAAAAGACAGTCAATGAGAGCAGAATGAAAAGCCCCATGACAGAAGGGAGGGCACCTTCAACTGGAATGGCAAGATGTACTCAGGGACCTCAGGTATCCTGAATCTGTTAGGGGAAACAGGTCTCTTTCAGCTCAAGATGGCTTTATCCTGTATGGAGAAACCAGGGAGGAAGAGGAATAACCAGTGAATCCAAGCAGGGCTGCCAGGTACAGAGGTATCCAGGTTGTGCACTGCACAAGTGTACTTTTTCAGAGGCATGCCATTCCCAGATATAAACTCATATGATAATATGGGGCAACTGAGAAAATTCTGGACTTCTTGGCAGAGCCTAAGACAGGAATGGAGACGCCACTCATGGATAAATCCACCCTGGCACAACAAAGCCTCGTACATGCTCAGAAGAGCACATACACACGTCCGTCACTGGCACATATTCTTGTGTGCAACTGTGCCTGGTCCTGCTAATGTTCCGGGTGTCTCCAGGGGCCACTCCTTGTCTGCCCAGTTTTGGAGGCCCAGTTGCTATTTAGCTGAGAGGAAGACTAGTAAGGAGACGCCTAACGTTCCCTGACACTCAAGTGGACACTGAAACTTCACTGCGGAGTGGGGTCAGGGGAGGAGAACAAAGCCATCAGTAGCAGATATGCCTGAGCAGGTGAAAATGTGGGTGTTTTGGTGTCAGCAGACAGGGCTACAGACTCCACACTTTTTTTTTGAATTTTTCAATTACAGTTGACCTACCCTATTATATTAGTTTTAGGTATACAACATAAAGATTAGACATTCATATAACTTACTAAATGATCCCCCAATAAGTCTAGTACACACCTAACACCATACATAGTTATTACAATATTATTGACTATATTTACTATGCTGTACTTTACATCCCTGTTACTGTTTTTGTAACTGGCAATTTGTACTTCTTAGTCCCTTCTTCTTCTTCACCCATTTCCCCCAACCCACTCCCATCTCTGGCAACCATGTTTGTTCTCTGTGTCTATGAGTTTGTTTCTGTTTTGTTTTGTTTTATAGTTTCCACATCTAAGTGAGACCATATCTGTCTTTCTCTGTCTGACATTTCACTTAGCATAATACCCTCTAGGTCCATCCATGTTGTCGCAAGTGGTAAGATTTCATCTTTTTTATGGCCAAGTAATATTCCATCGTATAAACTCGTGTGTACCATATCTTCTTTATCCAGTTGTCTATTGATGGGCTCTTAAGTTGCTTCCATATCTTGGCTATTGTAAATAATACTGCAATGAATGTAGGGATGCATTTGTCTTTTCAAGTTAGTGTTTTGGATTTCTTTGGATAAATACCGAGAAGTGGAATTGCTGGGTCATAAGGTAGTTCTATTTTTAATTTTTTGAGGAAACTCCATACTGTTCTCCACAGTGCCTGCACCCATTTGCAATCCCACCAACAGTGCATGAGGGTTCTTTTTTCTCCACATCCTCACTAGCACTTGTTTCTTGATTTATTGATGATAGCCATCCTGTCAGGTGTGAGGTGATATCTCATTGTGGTTTTAATTTGCATTTCCCTGATAATTCATGACTATTGAGCATCTTTTCATGTCTGTGTGTCCCCTTTGAAATGTCTATTCAGGTTTTCTGCCCGTTTTTAAATCAGATTATCTGGTACCAATGATGGAACCATAAAACCAAAGGAAGTAACAATAGAATAAGAAATGGATTGTGCGCAGATAGATATCAGTGCAATGCCTAAGAAATGAAAAAAAGTGATTTTCTAAAGCAAATGAAAGGCCCAGAGTTACAGAGAATAACCAGGCATGTCTATTAGAATTCTGACTATTACTTAGCATTATTAGTTCTGTTGTTGCCTCTTAAGAGTAGAATTAATTTTCACCCTTTAGATGTGTAAATAAGAAAGTAAACAGGTAATAAGAATAAACCAACTGATGATTTTTAAAAATATCTTTTAGAACTACAAACTGAAAGGTTTACAGATAAAATAATTTGATGTCCAAGTTTCAAGATAATTAGGGTAGAACAAGTGAGTGGGTGGGGGCATAAATGAAATAAGACTGCCTATGAGCTGATCACTATAAAGCAGGATGATAGATAGATAGATAGATAGATAGATAGATAGATGAGGGTTTGAAATTCTAGTCTCTCTGATTTTGTATGTTTGACATTTTCTATAATAAAAAGTAAAAAAACCCCAAAAAACCCCAGAATTTTGACACAGGTATTATTAGTCTCATTTTACAATTGGGGAGAAGCGAAGCTCAGTTTAAGTAACTTGCTCAAGGTCACACAGCACAGCCACTGTGATCTATGCTCAATGTGAAGGGAAAAAAATGTTCTTTCCATCATATTATTCTTCGCCCCCAATAGTCATAATACTGCAAAATTATAGAGCACTTTAGAGTTTACAAAGAGGCTTTACATACACTACATCATCTGAGTGGCTGGGGCAAGATAAAGCCTAAGTTTTATTCCCATCATACTCAGTATAGTATCTAAGGGCAGAGTTTCTCTAGAAAATGTATGTCCAATTGCAAGAGACTGAATATACAAATTAGCAACAGCCAGACCATATATAAAAATAGAACTCTGGCCCATAACCAGCCCAGGAAACTAGCCCCTTATGTACAGTAACCGGCCCAGGAAGCCAGCCTGCTGGAAGCCAGACCATCCTCTCTGGCAGCAGTCCAGAACACCAAACAATAACCCCTGTAAGCAATCAGCCCCAAATAGCCAGGACATGGTCAATAACTGACAGCTTCCAACTTGGGGCCAACCAGAAGAAGCCAAATATGCCCCCTCACCAATCACACGGGTGCCCCCTTCCAGTTAGCCCGCCCACAGCTTCCCCAGGCCCACGGCCTCTAGGCAGGGCCCCCCTGAGCCCTCCGTCTCCCACTTGAGAGCTTTCCCACTCCTCTGCCCGCCTCTGAGTCTCAGCTAACAACGCAAGTGACGGTGGCTGACTCTCTTGCTACAGCAAACTTGGAATAAATAGCCTTAGCTTTTCTCATGTGGTCTTCACTTATTTTCACAGTTGACTTGATAAAAAAAATTGGGTAAATAAACCTAGCTACTCAACATCTATCTACCTTTGTTCCAGAGAATTCATATAGAGGAGAAAGCAACCTCAGTTTTGTCTGGGTGGTCCTTTTACCTCATTCCTTTATTTAAAAAAAAAAAAAAAAAGCCCAACCTTAACTGTTCAGTTGAAGGAGGACTAGTCAGGAGATAGAATCAGGGAAATTCTGTGACATTATCTCTAAACCTGAAACAAGAACTCACCACTTCTACACAAGCTCCTCACTCATGATTCTTGGTTCATCTTTTTTGAATTTACTCCAAAAGACATTTTCACTTCGAGGGCTTTTTCTGGGCTGATGAAACACCTTACTTAGCTCAGGAGATGCCCATTTGATGCCCCCTACCCCCTGGAAAAAAATCAACTCCCTTCAAACCCTCACTGGGTTTGCTAAGCAGTGGCTGTCAGGAAGAAAAAGGGAAGCGGGAGAAGGAGGAGGGAAAAGGGAGAAAAGCAAAATGAAAACAATGGGGTTTTTTTTGAAACTCGGGAGCTACAGCTCGTGTGGTGACACCAGATGACCCAGAACAGACCGCTGTTTTGTTTCGAGGGAAATGATCCCTTTAAATCAAGCTTCCAAAAAGGGCAGGTGCTAAGTGTTGCTACAGCAGCGAGGTTCCAGATTGTAAATTAAGCCTGTGTGAAGATTACCTTGGGACTGAGAACTAACCAGCACTTTGCTCAAGTCTCCAACTGGACAGAACAGTATGCCAGGGTCACCAGAAGCCCCAAAATAAACCCAGGGCCTTGTCCTGGAGTGGCATTTTAGCTAAAACCAAAAAATTAATTCAGGGGGAAAGTCTTGAATCAAATAAGAGGTTATCATTAAGAAAAAAAAAAACCCTGGGAAGTGGGTTGAATTTTTCAAGAAAAATATCTCCCAAAATATTGAAGGGGAGATTGTCAGGACTAAAGTCACCTCCCACTCCCAGGGACCCACAGGGACAATGGGACTTGTGTCCCAGTCTTCTGCCTCTAGAATATGATTGCGAATGGAGCCAGGAAGCAGGTGGGTGGAGTGACCACCTCAAACTTCCCAGAAGTGTTGATTCTTCCTGGGGTGATAGGAGAAACAAGGACCCTTTTCTGAAATGAAATGTTAACAAGATAAGTATGATTATCAAGCTCCAGCTTAAGATTGGGTTTAGGATAAACTTTCAGAACTGGCTAATAATTAATAAAAATTTGATGTGGTTTCATTGAAATCTCCATCTTGCTGCTCTCATCAAGTTCATATATTTATTGTCTTGGGAGTGAGAGTCCACAGCTGCAGATTTGGATAGAGCAAACCAGAGATGACACCTTGAATGCCCAGAGCCACATCCAATGCTTGAATGATGTGACTGGAGCTCTATTCCTGTCTGATATGATTAATGAGAGCTCAACAATAGTAGCTAAGGCAAAAACAAACAAAAAACCAGTAGTCCCCAGGTATACAAATTGTAGTTTGTACCCATATATCTACTAATTGTACATTAGGTGAACTTGAGTTTGGACTTTGGAGAAGTTACAAGTCCCTCTTCATGTCTGAGAACAGGTGTTCAAAAGCTGGAATTCTCCCATAAGGCAGGGCTGAGTTTAAATCCTGGCTCCACTGCTTGTTATAATAATTGTGTGACCATGGACAAGTTACTTAACCTCTCTGTGCCCCAGTTTTTTTCTTCTGCAAAATGGAGATGATAATACTGGTGGTACCTACCTCAAAGATTGTCAGGACCTAAAGAGGTAATGTATGTCAAGTGCTTCGTGCATAGAACAAGCTCAACAACAAATAGTGACTATCCAATGTCTCTTTTTGCCTCTGTTGTGGGCCAATCGAGTAGCCCACCCCCACCCCCACCCCACTGAATAACTTTTAAGTTTCTTTCCTATAAAAATGCTGTCTTCTCCCTAGTTTCTTAGTTCCTTAGCTCCTGGCTTTGATTACTCTTCTAATCAATTTGTGAATCCTAAGCAATAATTGTTCATAGAAATCTCCTAGCCCTGCTTTAGAGAACTACTTGAAAGTCTGTGACTTCCCAATATCCCCCAGGCTATTCCGCACCTGGCTGTTGGATAATTCCCTCCCAGAGACTAAATAGATTTTAACATTTCCCCAGACCAGTAAGCCTAATGATTCTTTCCAAATCCATTCTGGACCCAGACAATTGACGCCACCTGAGTGACGGGCTGAATGGCCACAGGCTTCATAAGAACTAACAGATTTATTAAATACAATCTATTTTTCCTCGTTCAGGGGCCTTGGGGATATAGATGATACCCCAACAAGATTGCCAGTCTCAACCAAAGAAGCCAACACAGTCTTCCAGGCAGATCTTGAGACCCCTTCCTCTCATCTGAGATCAGATAGGGTGAGTTCCGTGAATCCCCCAATAGGCAGGGACAGCTCTATGCCCCTGCCCGGCAGGAAGCAGATACAGAAGAAGAGACCTCCTGTCCTTCAACTTCCCATAGAGATTTTATGGGGATCATGTCTCTCAAGGGGGAAAACAAGGCGGGCAGTTAGAGACAGGCATTGGGTCTCTGCATTCCTGCACAGCCCACAGGATGCAACGGCCCAGGAGACCGCCCCTCTCCACCCAAAACTTCTCCTTTGTCAGTGAAAGTATCTACCCCTGTGGGGAAACAAATAGGGACAAAATACCCAACTAGATCAGACCAGTCACTCGCACCTGCGCAGATGAGGTAATAGCCTCTTGTCAATCTCAGGTGTAGAGAGACCGCCCGTTCTAGAGAAAAGGGATAAAAACGCCAAGTCCCGGCCAGTCGGGCCTTGGAGCCCTTATTTGAGCCCTTTGAGCATTCTGAGCCTCGTCTTTGCGCGCAGCCTGCTCCGAACTCTTTGGAAAGTAATTTCTCTTCTAATAATGGGCCCTTGAGCCATTCTCTACTGCTCGGGCCCACTTCTATTTCTTTGAAGTGTACTATCTCTTCTAATAAACTACTTTTTCACTACTTTGCTTTGGCATCTCGTTCAATTCTTTGCTAGAGATGCCAAGAACCTGGACATCGCGCCGAAAAGGGCCCACTCTCTAACAACACCCCCACTAGTCCTATTAAACTGAAATACCAGAGGAAATATTAGGACTCAGCTCTAGGGAGCGAATCATTCCTTCTCTAACAATCAATGAGTGGCTCATAAATTTGACAAATGCTGTCACCAGCCCAGGGTTTAAAAAGAGCAGGGTGTCCTGGGGCAGCGGGTGAGGGGCCCAGAATTCACACAGGTGAACATGCTATGTGACTCAGATCAGCCAGTTGCATCTTGAAGCCCCAAGTGACCCTGACCCTCAAAGAGCTACACAACAGCTAGCTACCATCTTTTATTTACTCAAATACATTTACAGGTGGATTCAGCAGCTTAAGCCCCCCTTTCACTCAGTTCACTCCTGTTGAGAGCAGGGTTCTGAGAGCAGGGTTCTTTGCTTCGTTCCACCATGAAATGGAACTGAATCACCATCACAAAGTTGTCCAGCCCAAATGACTTACTCTTGTCAGTAAGTCAATGAGGTATCTTTCAGATTCCACGACTTCTCCTGTTTGCCAAGGAAGAGCACAGGCAGTAACAATAAAACATTGTCCTCAAGTCAGGCATCCAGAAAATTGAATTAGAAGAAGAGAGTAGTAAGAAGAGGAACAATTGAAGGCAGCTGGCCAAACGCTCCCCACATCAGTGGAAGGAATCAATGGATAGGCCCTCAAGTGTGTGTTGATGTTGAATCGGAAGGTCAGCAGGACAGACAGTTGTCTTTCATGGATTACTACTCAGAAATCTGTTCAATCTTTGGGTCCAAGGAATCAGAGGGCTGGCAGATCATACAGGCTTTGAGAATCAAGAGATAGGTTTCCTTGAACTTTTTTATTTTATAAGCATAGACGATAGGGTTCATCATGGAGTTAGCATGGGACAACAGGATGCCCAAGTTCAGCACAACTTGTGGCACCTCCCCGTTAAAGTAGATGATACAGTTGATGATGGATAAAGGCAGCCAGGACAAGGCAAACAAGAAAAGAACCAGAAATAGAGACTTGGCTGTCTTGAACTCCCGTCCATAAAATGCACCTGTCTCTTTGGAGCTATTCTGACTGAGTTTGTTCCGGATGACACAGAAGATGTCAATATAGATGGTGCACATGACAACCAGGGGGATGAAAATCCAAGTGAAGAAGCTGAAGTAGACCATGTAGTCCATCCTCATGACGGAACGGAATTGGCAAGAAAGGAAGGTCATATTTCTGTAGTACTCTGAGGTCAGTTTCATGTTCCAGCCAAACATGGGGGTCAATCCCACCAGGAATGACAGCAGCCAGCAAAGGCCCAGGGCAAACCATATTCTTCTTTGAGTGGTGATCCTCCTGTATCTGAATGGAAGAGAACTAGTGAGTTCACAGCAGGAATTGCTAAAAAGGTGTGGGAAGACAGAGCTGGTAAAGGAGAGAGAGGTGGAGAGTGTTGGCATTATTCTATGATGATTTTGGCTAAATTCTAGTGGATATAAAGACAAGATGAGCAGACAATGATTAGAGAAAAATCTGCAGCCTTCGCTGGGGGACTTTTCTAAAGAATTATCACCTAGAATGGATCAGGGACATGTTGCTGAGACTCAGGTGCTTGCACTCCCCACTCACAAGTCCATTTCCAGCCCAATAATTCTTCAATTCCTGGGAGGCAAGAGTTAGCTAAGTCTCCTGGGATCATCTACCTGGTGAGAAATGATCTCCTCAAAGTATGTTTGACTGCTGTGCTCTGCATTGTTTTGTTTGTTGGCATTTTTTTGGGGGGGCTATTGATATCCATTAATTACACTCTGCTTCTCCCACACCTCCTCTTCCTGTGCCCGCCCTGATTCTCTTGTTGCACTGGCAGACACACTTGATGTTTGAGTTTAATGAATCCATAGAGTTGGGAAGGTCGTGTTGAAATGCTTCTGGGACGTTGAAAGGCTCATCCAATGAGTCACCATTTCTCCTTAAACCATCCTTCCTGACAGCATTCTACACAGACTGCAAGAAGGAAACTGATTTTGTTAAGTACTGCACACTCAGTACACTTTCTCCAGAAGAAATCTCACAACAAATGAGAGATATTTTTATGATAATCTCTATTTCATTGATGGTAACGGTGGCAGTTATAGTTACCATTTATTGATCATAGACTGTGTGCCAGGCATTTTTTTCTAAGAACTTAACACATGTTAACTCACTTAATTTTATGAGGAAGGTGCAATTATGGTCCCCATTTCATAGGTGAGAAAAGTGAAATAGACAAGTAAGTTGCATGAGCTAGAAACAGTGGAGCTAAAATCAAAAAGAGGTAAGGCTGAATTCAGAGCCTCTTAAGCACTATAGTAAGATAAAGAACTGAAGCAAAGAAAATTAAATAACTTGCCCAACATCAGATTTCAAGCTCTGGGATTTGAACCCAGGCTTGTTTGTATCAAAAGCTTGTCCATAAATCCCTCGCCATGTTCTTTACCCTAAGAGAAGAGAGCAGAAACCTCTCTTTGCTGACCTAAGTAGTCAGGACATGTGGGAAATTCAGCTTCTCCATTTGGTGGTCTGTTCTGTTCACCTGGTCATGCGAAAGGTTAGTATGACTTTATGCAATGCAGAACTTTATTGAAACCCTTCTCAACAAGGAAGAGGAAGCAAAATTAAAATAACTTAAAAATAACGTACACGTGCAAAGAACAGAACCATCAGTTTATATCTCCTCTTATTCGTATCTGTCTGTTCTTTATCTTATCCAGTAGGTTTCTATCATTTCTAAAAGTCAAGAGCATTTTTTACTAATTAAAGATGCATCAAGCGTTTATCTTCTTTAGCTCCCCTGGCTGATAGAGCACATGCTCCCTACGCTCCTATAGTGAGTGCAGAGACATTCCTCTGTTTCTAGTTCCTGACTCTCAGCTCATCATTGCTAAACCCCTCACACACCAAATGGCGAAAAGAACCTCTTTCAAGCTCAGAGTCCACTTTGGATTCGTTTTCACTCAAAAAGTCTGGGATCTGAACTTTGCAGCCCCATTTTCCAGGCACCTCTATCACTGCCTCACACCACCCTTCTTCAAGCTGGTTACCTGACCGTGAGCTTGACCCGCAGGTATCGATCCACAGCAATGGCGAGCAAGGACATGATGGAGGCATGCGTGAAACTCAGCAGCAGGCAGGTCATGAGCAGGCAGCTGTAGAAGTGGAGTGTGATGCCCAGGCTGACGACAATGGCCAGAGGCATGACCAGCGCCCCAACCGCAATGTCAGCCAGGGCCAGGGAAACGATAAAATAGAAGGTGGTGGTCTGCAGACTGGGGTTCAGCTTGACCACCCAGATGACCAGCACATTGCCCACTATGGCGCAGAGCCCAATGACGATCTCCATGATGATGTAGGTAACCTTGGCCAGCAACGGGGCAGTGATGTTAATAGGCATCTTGGTTTCCCAGAAGAGTCTCCAAGGTGACAGGCATGCAAACAGGATCCGTGTAGGCCAGTGAGTCCAGCTCTTGCCAGAGGTCCACGTGCAGCAGCAACAGTCTAAAACTCACAATGCATCCATTCCTTCTCTTCTCTGGTGGGGCACTTCCTTGGAGAATCCCCTCTCCTTAGAGAGAGCCAATCGCAGGACAATCACTTCCAGCCCCTCAGCAAGCCACACATCCCTGGGTTCCGGGAAGCCTGGAGGACAGCTCTATGTGGGCTGAGTCTGAAAGTGCTAATGCTCTTAGTTCCCCAGATAGATGCGCTCAAGGCCGCTGCCTTCCCCTGCCTCAGGAGGGCTACTGAAGCTCTATCAAGATAAGCGACTCTCTTCAGGGGTGTTTCAGGAAGTAAGATGGGCCAAGAGGAAGTACAGAGCTAGGAACACTCTACAAGAAGATGGAAAGAACAGGGGAGGAGGGTGTGTGTGGTCTGAAGAGGGCTTAGCATTCATTCCCCCCCGGGAAGACCAGAGTGCAGGGCTGGGTGGGAGAGGAGCTGTGAGCACCAATTATGTAATATTCTGGCTTTCTGCTAGTTTAGGAAAAAAAAAAATCCCATAACTGCGAGGCAAACGGGATACACAGAGGAACAAGAACTAGACTTTGGAGGCAGGTCCCCAACCTTAGCCGGAATTTACTCCTTCTAGTGCATATACCATATAGACTGACACTGTGTGTTCCCCCAAAATTCATATGTTGAAATCTGTCCCTCCAGGGGATGGCATTTGGAGGTGGGGCCTTTGGGAGGCTATTAGGTCAGGAGGGTGGAGCCCTCATGAAGTAGATGAGTGTCCTTTTAAGTGACTCCACAGAGCTCCCTCACCCCTTCCACCACCTATGAACCAGAAAGTGGGTCCTCCTCAAACACAGATTCTTCCTGTGCCTTGATCTTGGACTTCCTAGACTCCAGAGCTGTGAGAAATAAATTTCGGTTGTTTTTATAAGCCACCCACTCTTTGCTGGGCACAGCTGGAACCCAGCCTTTGCATCAAAGATCTTTTGCCAAACGGACAAGCTAAGATTCCCTGCTCAGAAGATCAAAACTTCAGCACATCCCCGCAAGCGTCACATCTACTGCCCCCCATCTCTCCTTCTTGGCCACACACCCACCATGACCTCACACTAGTAACCGCCTGCGTTGAATCTATCTGCAGTCCCACAGGACAACGGGATGACCAACCATGGGGAAAGGAGGAAAACGACTATATGTGCACATGATTGTAAGGCATCCCCTCCTACCTTTGTGCCCCAAGCCCCACCCCCACCCTGCAGGAACCGGAGTGGGTCTGAGACTCAGGCCTTTTCTTAGATGTTGCTCACCTGGTCTCAGCTCCTGGAAACTGAAGGCAGCCATTATTTGGGGCCCACCTAGTTCAGGTACTTCCTGGTGCCCCCCAAAGGGGTGATTTAGAGAGACAGCAAGAGGAACAGTTGGACCTAAGCCCACACAGTGAATTGAAGGGTTTATACCATTTAGCTTAAAGCACCAGTCTATACATGGCCAAAACTAAAATTCGGCGGTAACAAAGTGTTGTTCTGGGGTTTACTAACAAGCACTTTTCACAGGGGCGCTGGTGAGATATTTTGGCCCCGGGGCCTGCCAGGGTCTTCTTCAGTGGTTCTGCTTCCTCATCCCCCCTTGATCCTTGCTGCACCCCAGGTCGGTCCACGTCTGTCCGAGTGCCTTCCTTGTCCCCGCAAGACTTGCCAGGTCTCCCTGAGCAAACTCCCTGACGTAGAGTAGCAGCCTTCTCTGACTGCATTTCCCGTCACCCTCACATTTTCCACTGTTGGCTGTGCCCACGCCCCTGCACTGCGGGAACTTGAGAAGCTACCTCAGCTTCCAATGTGGCCTCTCACAAACGTCTCTACTGTAACTGCTTTCTTTATCTTTTGCTTCGAAGAAGGAAGTCACAGAGAGAGATTTCTAGGAGGCTGTGTGCTAATGAAACAAGCTGTTCTCACTACATAGCGATCTTTGAATCTGGATGACTCACTGTAAAAAATGCACCCTCCCCCCAACACTCACCACCCAGCAGCACCAAGGCCTTGTGAGAGAAAGACCCCCTGGAGGAGGGACGAGTCGTGTTGCCTGGTTGTGACACTTGTACAGATGAAGAATGGTTTTCTTGGAGGGTTTGGCAGCCCAGGGTCTGCTCTCAGGCCAACCTGGAGTGGCCAAGGAAGGAGGGAGTGGGCCTGTGGCCCAGTGGAGCCCAGGTGATTGCTCTGTGTTTAAGCGCTGGTCAGACAATGGACAGCTCCGCATTTAGAGAGAAAAAGATTGTGGCCCTTGTGTGGCTATGGGCCAGAGGCTGCAGGGAGAGGAAAATGGGTGGAGACCAGGAAAAGTCCCTGAGCCATGGATCCAGCCCCCCAGAAAAGGTCTTAGGGATGGAGGTGACAGCTGGAGCTGGAAACCTGTGTTTTCAGATTCTTGCCTCTTTCTTCTCCTTTTGAAACCAGCCCATCTCAGCTGAGTTGGAGAAACCAAGGAGACGGGTTTTGTCCAAGCACCAGTCACAGAGCAACCTGGGGACAGGACAGCCCCTGAGAGCATAACCCATGGGAAAAAGGAGAGATGGGGACATACTTGGGGCCAACAGCCAAGCCACCTCTTCCCACCTGGGAATTCTGTTCCCAGAATTCTCTGCACAGACCTGGGGAATCTCCTCTCACGAAGAAAGGAAGGCCTTCCTTTATGTTTTCTGAGTAGACCGAGCCCATCGATGCGCAGGGGCTCTCCCAGCCCCTGCAGCCTTCTGTCTCCTGGTTCCCCCCAGAAACCACAGTGCCATCCAGCTGAGCAGCCTGTGGCTCTTTCACTTCCTCTCCCCTGCACACATGCTCTTTTCTGGCTAGGAAGGCCCTTCTCCCGGCCTTCCGCCTAGAAAACAAGCACTGTTCCCTCAAGACTGTTCTCAAACAGGACCTTAAAAAAAAGCTCCCACATGCCCCTCCCCTGCCCCGCCCCCCAGGATCCCAAAGTGCTGTGTTTATCCTGTAAGCTCTGGGAGGGCAGGGACCTTCACTTTTCAGGTCTGCATTTCCAGCCCCTACCCCAATGCCTGCCAGATGGTAAGTGCTCAGTATATTGATAAATGAATGAACAGGAAAGTGCTTCAGTGAGCCAGCGGACATACATTCAGCACTAGGTAAATAACACCAATGAATCAGCTAGGACCTGAGAAGCATTTTCCATTATAACAGCTACAGTGCTGAGCATTTTACTTGCATGCTCTCATTCAGTGCTCTCTGATGAAAGAGATACTATCATTACTGCTGAGCTAACTGAGGCTCAGGAGGGTTAAGTTACTTGCCCAGGTTAGCACAGCTAGGAAGTGGCAGAACTGGCCTTCGAACCCAGGCTCCTGGCTCCTGGGAGGCGTGCAGGTTCTGAACCACAGCCTTCGCTCAATGAATGAGCAAGCGGACAACCATACAAAGATTTCACAAGTACAAGGAGTCCCTAGATTTGATGTTGCCATATGATCAATAGGTCCTAACCTCACATCTGGAAGAGAAACAGGCAGCCAAGGTCATGGGCGCAAATCACAAGCATAATGTAGGTCCAGCTCCAGCTCTGAGTTATGGCGAGATGGAGGAAACAGAGAGATGCTTGTATGAGCAGGCCACTGGTGAGACTGAGGCCCCAAGGAGACCTCTGGGCCAGAAAGAAAAACTTTCATTGGACCAAGGGACCAAAAAAGAATTTTACTTAAATAATAAAATAAATTATAAGTGAAACATTGCTCAGGGGATTTTTTCCATCCAAATAAAAGGTCGTGTCTGTTTCAATTCTACTAGAAGAACCTGAACTCCACAGAAGAGGCAAAGATCTGGGATTCAGATCATGGGCCAAAATCACAGGAAAAGCAACTGGAGTCCTAGGGCAAGGCTTCACCTGTCCCCATCCCTGGTCTGGAGCCTCCTTGGGCTGATGCAACTGGACACAGCTCAACCGCAAGGCTGCAAACTTGCCCTTGGAGTTCTACTTAACATTCTGAGAGGTTAGCCAGAGGTGGTTCATCAGACTCTTTGCAGCTTCTCAGAAAAGCCTGGGAAGCCCCAGCAACCAGCCTGCAACAGAAGCAAGAGGCAAGATGCAGCCTTAGCAGGGGCCCAGAGAAAGGATGCTGGAGCCCTAAAACTGGTGCAGGTGGCTGCTGAGACAGGATGTCTGGCAGACGGAAGGTAGCTCCCCCTGGCTCAACTGCTGCTTGCAGAGTTGCAAAAAGTCAGTTTGCTCACTTCCTCTTGGCACCATTGCCACTTCCCCAAAGCCTTATATTTTTATAGACCTTTATGCTTGCTAGCCAACAGCAGAGGCTTAGAAAGAACAAGAGCCCAGGGTCTCCCCAGGAAGGTGGCCAGACTTGACTCTCCCTCCCCCAGGACCTCTCCCTTCTCTGACTCTCAGTCAAGCCCCAGGGGGGAGACTGGGCCTTTCAGAAGGCTTCCTCCAGGGCCTGCTCTGGAGCCACTGTCCCCAGGGGCTTCTTACTAGGGCTCAGCAACTTGAGCCAATCCAGCTGTGGCCAAGGAACCAGGGACTCCTGAGGCCTGTACAGTCCAGGAGACTCACTTAGAGCCAGTGCGAGGGGAAGGGGAGAGGTCAAGGTTCCTTCACTCTGAGTAACAGGAAACCCTGCCCTGCAAAGGAAAGCCGTTTCCAGAGGCCATGCCCAACCCACCAGACCGCCCCCTCTTCCCCCTCCCCCACACACATCACGTGTGTCAGAAGGTCTCCGGGCCCTAATGGAGAGCCCAGAGAAGGGTTCAGCTAACCCTAAATTTGTTCCAGGTTTCTTGGCACTGACAACGTGAGGAAAGGTTCGAACTACATGAGTCTTAGTGGGTAGACGCTTTCAGGCGTCAGTTTCAAGTGTCTGAAAGGCTGATTCCAGTGTTCCAGCTGGGGCGCGATGCTCAGCAGTGACCACCAGGTGGCAGCACATTTCCACTGCCACACGGGACGCAGCCTGCAAAAGTCGTGAACTTCGTGGCACCCCCTTCAAGCCCTGCTTATCCAGCTACCTCAGCTCGTGCAGAAAATGAAAGAAGTGAGAATTATGGGCAAGGGATACAAGGATAGTCTGCCAACTGCCTCAATCCCATCCAATCCCTTAGAATATTCCTGAATGGTACCAAATTCAATCCTCTTGACTCAAGAAGGTTGAGCAGAAGCAGCTTCTCCTTTCAAACCTGTGAGAGTTCCAATAAAAACAATATTTGTGCTTTTCTCACTACACAGCACCCCCACAAAAGAGGTATTATTCATCT